TCACCTGGGTTATGCTAAATATAAAACTAAAGAAAATAGTAGACAAAATACATTTTAAACACTTGCATTAATTATATATGCTAAAGCTTCAAATGCACTTTTGAACAAGGCAATTAAAATAATTAAACTGCTTTTAGACCATCAATAACACAAAAAGTTTGCTTTCAATAAACGACAAAAGACACCCGAGAGTTATTACAGTCCAGCTGGAATCTTCGAAACTGCTCTTCAAAGTGAAAGAAAGAATTAATTCAGTTTTAATTCGCTCATGATAAAATTGTATTTCCCTTAATGCCTTTACTTGTTAGTGTAATTACAATTAATTTTTGTAAATTTTGTTTTGAATAAGTGAAAGAATTTTATTTCTTTTAACTTTTAACAGGGATGAAATTAAATTAAATTTTACCTTGTACTTTTACTGTACATAAGGAAGACACACCAGTGAAATTTTATACCATTTGGTTTCTTTCCAGGGCTGAGAGGATGTTAAGAAATTGAGCTATAGATCACAGTTAGGTTTGTTTGAAGTCTACCTCAATAAGACGGTATTTCATTTGATATTAGTATTTATTGCCAAATCTTTGGAGACATGCAAATAGGATCAGACCTATTTCGAGAAACCTTTCTGTTACAGAACCAGAGTAAACCCTTCCAAGTTTCTTTATTTTAACTATATGTTTATTTTGATTAATATCCTATTGTAAATCATGATTTTTTTAAAATATATGTAATTGCAGAGATATCTACATTTATGCAAATTTACCAAAATATTTAACTTTAAAAATACAGGCAACTTCAAAAAGTAACTTAATAGTAAATGATTTTTTTAAAAAACATGTTTGATTTTTTTTGCAGTACATACAAATACTATCTTCAATTCAGGAACATAAAATAATAAAATATACACTGGAAATGTTGCAACAATGAAGAACATAGTGGAGAAAATACCATTGGTATCATCCCAGTAAAGCTAAAAATTGTGTGTTTGTTATTAAAATGTTGCCTGTTTAATTAATGTTAATCAATATCACTTTCACTATCATTTTGAAGGAGATCTTGTGGCTACTGTCTCTTCATGCGGGGAGGAGGTTCGAGAGAATTTGACAAGAATTGAGTTTTTGGATGTGGTGATTTACGGTGGTTGGGCGGGTTTTGTGAAACTTTCGATAAAGGGAGAGGATTCTTATTTCATCTTGGATTGAATGGAATATTTAAGTCTGTAATATTCAATCCATTAAATGGAGAATCAAGGATTTTTCGTAAGAATAATGCTTGGACAGTTTGGCAGCAGCGGATGTTGGAACCCCGTGAGTCCATATCAGCTTAACCGTGGTGTTGTAAAGCAGCCTTTTACTTTTGAGAAGTCAGAGCGTTTCTAAAGAATCGTGCAAGAGCCCTTTATCGTGTCATAAACTTCTTGACGTTTCAGTCGTGGGTAGGAGCGTTTGTCGATGTTCAGTCTGAGGTGCACCTTGTGCGCAGTTGGGAATGAATGTTATTTATGTAGACTAGAGGGGACATCTTTTTACGGAAACTGAAGGTAATGTGGGTGGATATGTCTGTGTTAAATTTGATTCTTTACTTTTCACACCAAGACCAAGAGGAGTTGGAGTTTTCGGGTGGAATTTTCAGAATCGGAGTCACTGGAAAAGACTGATGTATCGTCTACAAATGTGAGTGTGGTGGTTTGAAGATGTGATGGCATGTCAACTGTATAAACCTGGTATAGTGTAGGCCAGAATGCAACCCTGAGGAACACAAGCAGGAATAGGGAAATATTCTGAAAGGGAATTGCCTTCAAGACTCCGAAAAACCGGCCAGTGATATAACTGTGCAGTATGTGATGGTACAATAAGTGGAGGGAAGGAAGCCCTTGAGCATAAAAGCTAAGCCCGGGTGTCACACCCGATCAAAAGCTTGGCTTTGACATGAAAATCCCCACAATAGTACTGCCCAAACTTAAGAGAGGAGACGTTAATGTCTACCACACAATGGCACTGTTGGATAGTTGGATGGCAGTTGCAAAAACCAAATTTCTAATCGGAGATTATATTTTCAGAATTTAGGATTGGAAGAATTCTTTTGAATAGGAGCTTTTCTGAAATCTTACCCAAAATGGAAGTAAATCTAACTAAAAAATCTTGATATGTAAATGTGTCGCTATTTATTTATAAATGCTTTTTATATAAAAGTAATAAATCTAAAAATAATATTTTGAATTTAATAAAGAAAGTAATAATTTTAAAGAGCTTTTACATAAAACGCAACTAATATTTTTTATTTATTTATTTATAAAGGCGATCAACCACTAAGATCATGTCCGCCTTGACAGATAATATTTATAATGAAAATTAAATTTTATTAGTTAGATATTAACTTGTAAAGGTTGTAATAGTTTGTCAATGTTCTCTTTTTGATTTCCTAACATTTGATTTATTGAATTTTAAGGTTCTTTTGCTGTTATTATAGCTAGGGCAGTCTATTGGTAAGTGTTTTACAGTTAGGATTTCTTCACAGTTTTGACACTTAGGTGGTTTGTCTCGTGACGTCAAATAACCAGGAGTAAGACGGGTATGGCCAATTCTTAGTGTGGTTAACATCGTTTCTTCAATTCTAGATTCTCTAATTGATGATTTCCAAGGACTAACACTATTTTTTATTTCGTTTAGCTTGTTGTCCGTTACATTGTTCCCCATTTGTTGCCAGGATAACCAATTTTTTGTTTTAATAACGTTTACTACGTCTTATGTGGTACTGTTGTTATTGGTAAACCACTCTCGATGGCCTCTTTAGCAGCTTGGTCTGCCAGTTCGTTTCCCGCTATTTGACAATGGCTAGGTATCCATATAAAGAACACTTCAGTTCCTATTGAGTGTAGATGTCTGAGAGAAAAATCCTATTGAGTGTAGATGTCTGAGAGAAAAATCCTATTGAGTGTAGATGTCTGAGAGAAAAAATATGTCTTGAATAGTTTTATCAGTAAATTTATTTTTTATTGATAAAAGTGCTAAAAGTGAATCGGTGCATATGGCTATTTTATCATATGATGGTACTATTATGTTTAGACATTTCCTTATGGCAATCATCTCCGCAGTATAACCGCTACATAAATTTGAGAGAGAGAACATGTATCTCCTATTGTCACAAACTACACTGATTCCTGTTCCTTAAGGGGATTTGGACCCATCTGTATAGCAAAAAGTTGTTTGTGTAGTTTGTTTAATACCTTTAAGAATTCTTTGGCGTATACATACTGTGGGGTGTTACTTTTAATATTTTTTGTGAGTGATAGGCATATTTTGGGAGTCGGTAGTACCCAGGGTGGTATCTGATTTATGATATATTTCAAAATAGGGGGTAGAGTGATGCCGATATTATGTAAACTAATAGAGGCACGGATTGCATAATGTTTAATTTTATAGTTATTAATTGCTGATGAAGCAATTAATATTATCAATATGTATTCTTGTGTATAATAATAAAATGTGGTGAGACAATGTTTCATAATTTGCCTTATTAATTATATTTTATGATAATGCTTGCCATAGTGGTGTTGATTTAAAAGTTAAGATTATCTAAAAAAAAAAAAACTTGGCTTTTGTGTTTGAACTTATTTTGAAATGGGCTAGACACAATGCGAAGGACAAACTGAGTTAATGAGCGTTGGACTTTAAGCCAAATCAGCCTCATTACCAGGTAGAATGTATTGAATATTTTACGTTTAGTGTATATTAGTAAAATATTTCAGAAGTAAAGAGAAACGGCTTTTAGAGGATTGGAAAGCGTCCAAGTGCCCCACGAGTTGTGACTGACAAATTACCTTCAACATATTGGATACACGTAAATCGATAGGAAACGTTTGGTTCAAGTATATTACGTCGGAATTGCAAAGGGGGTGGTTACCTTTTACATCTGTTCAATTATAGATAAATTTTCTTTTCATTTGAACTTTGAAAATTAAAAAAAATGTTATTCTTTTAAAAGAGAATTTTTTGTACTTATGGATTTTTTATTAAAACGGTTATGAGGCTTGAAGAAAAAGTTGATACGCAATTGGATCGTGTATGTTTACAAATTTATGCAACGGCAGGGTCATTGAGATTGTTGTGGAGATATGAGCGTAAGACGTTAATATAGGGGTCGATCCGGACCCCGGAGATACATTACCGAACGTGACCACATAACCCCTCAAATATTTTAATGTCCACAGTCCCACATAAAAATTATTTATGACGCTCCTAGCCGATATTAACTAAAATGTTCTTTATATCCCCACGGACATAAAGTACATTTAGGAAAATAAATGCGGTTAAACAAAGGGGAAAACGTTGCAGACAAATGCCTGAAACACAAACCTTTTATACATAATTGGAAATTTTTTGGTAAAAAAATTAAATTTTTTCATTAAACATTTTTAATATCATAGGAAATTCCATGGGCATTGGGTTTGAACAAAGAACCACTGAGGATCAGATACGACCTTCGGACGGCATTACGTTCTCAACCACTGCGGCTCTTTGAAAATAATGAGTAATGAATTATATTACACTACAAAATGTTTTTTTTTTTAATTCCTGGCCATATCCGTTTTAATATGTGTAACTGTATTCAAAGAAATACGATATGTAAGTCTGAAATGTGCAGTGTGTCATTCGCAGGCCTCTTTTATGTATCTTCGTTTAATATCTGTCCTTCTGATACTTTTTCACGTGTTCACATCCCGTATACGGCCTGATAGGGGTCCCCTTTTCTCTGGTAATCTTCTTTTCGGATATGACTGGCCCTATGTGTGCACACAATATACCATTTTCCCCAACCCATGTTATGCTACGTCGTCCCCATATAATAGTCTTCAAATTATCTTTTACTACGTCCGTCTTTCCACCCTTTTATACCCGTCTTATCCCTTATTGTCATATCTAATAAATGCCAGTTTCATATTTCGCCCGGTATATTTTTTAGCCTGTTTATAGAATTTTTAATGGAATTTGTATGTTTACCTTCTTGATGGAATTTCTTCAGCGCGTTCAACATCGTTCATCTGAAAGAAAAAAAATTAAAACCACTTGTAAACAGACCAAACAATTACTTTAAAATGGATAACTTTCATGCATTATAGACAAAATGTAATAAATATATAATTCCTCTGCGTTTTTTTTTTTTTTTTTTTTTTAAGGTTTTCAACCTTTACCCTTTAAAAGACCCATACCAATCATGTGGGTTGCTAATTGCTTTTAAAGCACACACAATACCTACTTCATCTATTGTAACGGGTTAATAGTTTATCAAGGTTAATTGCTGCGAAATAAGGAACAGAACAAAAAAAGTAAGCTCCAGGCTTTTACCTTTTTGTATGCTTATAAGTGAATCACTTTGTGTGCGTTCTTCGACAGATATTTTATTAAAATTATAACTTTCTTTTCGTCATGAAAAAAAGTTTTAAATTGTTAAAAATTACGCTCTGTTGTACTACAAGGACGCATTTACTAATTATGTTTCGCGATTTTTTGAATTAGAAATATATTCTTAATAATTACAATTTCAATTAATTAATCATTTTACGTAAGGGTTTGGTTGAAAAAGAAAAAGCAGCCGAAGGTCGTGGGTTCGAATCCTGCTCGTGACACTAGCTTTCTCATTTCAACCAAACCTACGTAAAAAGATTAATTCATTGAAAGAAGTAATTTGGTCAATAGACAACTAAATATAATGGAAATAATTACAATGTTTTATTCTCTTGTGTGTTTTGATAATTCTATATGTTACATTTTATACGGAAATAGTTGTGCTTTGACTGGTGATGTAACGCTAAATTTTGCAGAGCCGAGAGATATTTCCTGTAAAATCTGCAACAAACTCAATTTAAAATAAGAAAAAAAAGTTCCCTACAAGATAAGTTACTTCTTATCCCCAAGAGCCTAGATAGACAAAAAATATCGTATATACTTGGCCCGTGTCCAGGATACCATGGTTTAGGTCCTTTACAATCTCATAAAACTAGACGGAATCTTCCTGCAACGATCTATTCCTATATGGAATTTCCGAAAGAGAGAAATTGTATGGATTATGTTTTTCTTGTAAAAAACACTGCTGGAGGGCAAGTCCTTTAACATAACTAGAATTAATCCACGTATGCTTAATTATCTTCGTTTAATTGATTACTTGGCGTCTCTCCTGATCAATACATAATATTCTAATTACAATCCTTGTATCTCTATATTTGTTATATTAACTTTGGCCCATAGTAGTTAATTTGGTGAGGGTGAAGTTGAAGAAAGTTTGTTAAAATCGTATTATTCCTTCGGGCTCCTTATTTTCCCTTTTTCCCCGCCCCCGCTGTGAAGTTTCGATCAAAAACTTCTTGTTCTTATTAAACGAAGACTCATTATTTCTATTTTATCTACACAGAAAGTTAATGTATAATTTGGAATAAATTCGTTATTCCCGGCGGAACTCAATCTTGCCGCTTGTAAGAAGGATCATTAAATTCCCACTAGAACCTTGCTTCTCATTGCATATTCAGCGGGACGGGACTCCTTAATAAAGCCGGAATAGACAAAGCTCCCAGGATTAATCCTGACTCAGGTAAATATTTCCGTGATGTAGGAGAAGCTGTGACATAAATCCTACAAGTAAGGATCGGCTGACCCAATTGAAAGTGAGCACGACTAATCCGGTGAACACGAATCCTCCTGTCCATTTGTCTTTATTAACTGAAAGGGGTCTCAAACAGGGACAGGAGGGCAATTCTGTTTTTACCCAGGTGATTCTCATCCATCACAATAAACCCAATTATTCGATTATTCTATTTGGAAGACGCTGGCGAAGTTAAATAAGTATTTATGAGATGTAAGTATGAATGTACAGATTAATGATTAAAAACGCCATTGGTTTCTTATAAGATTGTTAATAAAGCTTTGCCAAAAATACCTTGCACCACAATAAATACTTAAAACAATATTATAAAAATGGAATCATACAAAAAACCAAAATTTTTATTACGAACCATCAAAGTTATTCATATGCTACTAGGCTAATACATTTCAAGGTCATGCTAGACATTGTAAACTCCTTAATCATATATTTATCTTTTTCTAAATTACAATGAAAAAAAACACCATTATTTCCTCCTGACATAGCATGACGAAATTCTTGCAGTGCAGCGTAAAAACGGGCATAGCATAGAAATACGGTGGGATTTTCGTCTAGTCATTTCAATACTGGGAACACCATCATCGATCAGGTTCAATGATCTGATGAAAATTACTCATGGTGTGAGCCAGGATGCGTATATTACCCACCATCAGATGAAGTCGTTAGTAGGCTTAGAACACCGGCTAAGATTAGATCTTGTTGATTTGTCAGAGGGCCAAGTCGAATATCAATCTAAATCAACCAGGCAACGCTCCCTGAACTTCATAAATGCAAAGCATTGCATTAAGTAAACAAAGTTCAAACACCTCTAAAAGAAGGTTATTAAGTTCAAGTTCAACAGATACAACAAATCGAAATTGAACGAGTCAGCATATGGCTTTTCCCTGCTTATAACACAGACGTCATCTACAGACCTATAGTCTTAAAGTTGAAGCTCTTTCTTATATCCCTGATGTCTCGCTGTATGGATAACCTTCAAGGCTAACTTTCTACAAGCAGAATGATTTTCATGTTTATTTTCATTAATGATAACTGAAAATTTATTCGAAAATAAGAAATGAATAAAGAGTGCACATTTTTAGAAAATATCGACTGTAAAAATGTACAGCATGGCCAAGGGGAAGTGTTTCAGTCAGAGGCATTTAGGTTTGGAAAAATCTTTTGATAATGTTTTAGATTACGCCTACATTCGAAACAAAAATACCCAATTATCAACTGAAAAAGTTAAATGCTCCTTAAAAAAATTCACGTTGGACTCGGGCCAAAATCTTAGAATCGGAAAGCATCCGGGTCTTGCCTTTCCCTGCTTATAACCCTGACGTAAAGCGATCTGCATATAGTCTCTCCGTTCTATGGTACCTTTTGGTAAAGTATGGCACTTTCAAAACAACGAGGAAATGGATATATTTTTTGTCAGGGCGTTTGAAATAATACGACTGTCTATTGATGATATGGACTGATTTTCGAAGTCCACACCGAATTTAATTCAAATGTACTTGCCGTTAGGTAAAAAGTGATAAGTCTAATTTATTTTAAGCAGGGATAAGGCGGGTTCGGCAGAACTCATTAATCTTATCTTTCGAAAGGTTATAAAAAACACGCAATAATCGTTTTCACGTCGACCCGGCTTTATCATATGACAAACTAAGCACTGAAGCACCTAATGGCGGAAATTGCATACATTTATTTTTACTTAGGCGGGCGGTGTATTATAATGCACAATTTCAAACTTTATCATTATCGACATTATACGTCGGATTTTAGGTCGGAATATAAAAAAAAGGAAAGAACGATTTGCGTCTATTTTGCGCAGAGAAAAAGCTTCTTTTCTCATAGATATTCTTGCAGATCATAGAAATAATATAAATATTATATATGAATTCGAAATTATGATGTAAATTGTACGGAACAACGTTAGATAAAAACACAATGCAGAATTTAAATATTATCGTTGAAAAACTAACTTTTCCTTCGTTGAGCTTTCAGATCGACGTTTTTCCTCTACAACACTGGGTGAAAGTTTAAACGGTTTCCCATAAAAGCCGAGGAATTAACAAAAGAAGCTTTACTACAAACACTTTACAATGAACTCGGAAACAACAAAACCCCTGAGGTAACAGCTTTTTCCTTTTTACAGACGTTTAATCAAACGTTTATTAACTAAAAAACTAAATGTCAACTGTTCTTCGTCACGCGGGCCGGCGTAATTTCACCGAATAATAAAAAAAAAAACCTCTGAGATTCTGAGTAGAAATTTAACATAAGGGTGTTTTATTGTTAAAAAGGAAAAGGTATATAAATGTTAAAAGACTTCCCAAACTCATTAAAGGTTCAAAAGAAATGCGTTAACAGGAAAGACAAGTTTTTCTTTGCTTGTGGTTATTTCCGGCATAATCGGTGTTGGAAAACTCCCTCATCTAGATCAACTTTGGGGGGAAAGAAGAGAGTAATTAAACTGAAAAAAATAAAAACAAAAAACGGATAAATTCCCTTGTACGGATGGTTTATTACAAAATTGAAGAGCTTCGATGTATGCAGTTAAAGCTGTCTTAATCTCGAAAAAGATTTATTTGAGCAAGGTAGATTAACAGGTGCAATGGACAGAATGTTTGTACACTATCACTAATTAATTACGAAATAAAACAGTTTTATAAATAAAAATAAATAAGTAAATAGTGAGTTCCTCTTTTAAAAAGTTGCATAAACTTCTGCATTGAATTGGTAAGTCGAATCATCGATAATGAATGTGCTCTTCTGAAACGATCACATACTAGAGGTAATAAGTTGATAAGTGGTACGAAAGTGGTTTTCTAACATTTTCCACCCAACCAAATATTCAAATAACATACCACAATATCCCACAACCATGCAAGGTTTTACAGAACACATTTATTTGGTTTTAGAAAACAAAGAGTACTGCTTGGTTGCTTTTCAAGATTTGGATAGGTTTTGTACACAGGAATCTTCTATAAACTGAAATGTGTGGTGATTAGAGACCGATAATCGATAATTATTCAGAAATCGTGAGATGCGGTCTGGTGTGATGTAGGTTTCAGAAAAACATTTTCTTTATCGTGCCAACGTTTCGATCTTTATTGAGATCATCTTCAGGGCTCAAAGTGTTTGTCTTCTGTGTAATTGTGTCATTCTTGCGTGTCGTGGCGCACGATAAAGAAAATGTTTTTCTGAAACCTACATCACACCAGACCGCATCTCACGATTTCTGAATAATAAACTGAAATATTTTCTATACATTTCTCCGTGCTTGAAAATCGAGGTGCTGCAAAGAATACTCGGATATAAGCTCACTCCAACCGGCGCCTCACGAGGGAGCTTTTTTGTTCTAATTTGTATACCGTTTATACAGCTGACTTATTCCTGCATCCC